TGGACATGAGGAAGATGGAATTCACTTCTTTGAGGCTCTTCAAACAACAGATGGCCTCTTCTGGAGAGGCGTCAAGTCCTGTTCTGGAGCCACCAAGGAATAAGATGGTCCATGGATGTCCTTTTCAGCCTGCTGTGACCATCTGTTACCTTTTACTGCTCCAAGCCTCTGCCCAACAGCCTTGTGGGGGTGCCCGGCGCTGTTGTTACCTCCAGGGACCCCACTTGCATCTCCATCTGCTTCTCTGTATGGTGGTGACTGAATCACCCAAAGCTCCTGGCCTCATTTCTGCACCACTGGTAGCAGGCAGGAGCTTTTCCTTATAGTGGGACCCTGGCATCTGAGCCATCGCTCCTCCCACTGGGGAAGAAAGTTATGGAGGAAGGCAAAAACCTGCCAAGGGCGTCCAGTACAACATCTCTGTAGAGGAGACATAGGTATTTTCTGAACTAATACCCTGTGGTTTGGGATGGGCTCTTGCATTTTGCTGGATTTGACACCATGACATGTTGAGGACCAGGGGAGTGTGGACTCCTCCAAGTCAAGCTGACTCTATTTGCACCCTCAGCCCCTCGCAGATGCTGCTCTTCATGCTCTCGCCCTGTGGACCACCTTTCCACCAGCTCCTGCTGCTCTCGCCTTCACCTCCCACCTCTCCCTGTTGTTGTGGTGGAGGAGGATGTTTGCCCCCTGGGGACCAGATCTAACCCTGTGCAAACAAGCAGCAGCTCTTCTCTGCCAGCTGGCTTGACGGATCCCACCTGGCATTTCCATCCAGGTCGGCAGGATGCTCTCGTGCTTGGGTCCGGCTGTGCAGCTATCAGTGTGATTTCTTGGCTGCCAAGCTTGCCTTCACACCCTTCTGCCTCCCCGCTCTCGCCTGGGACTGTCTGAGCTGGAGCTGAAACACACAGCATCACACCTGTTGCTCCACCAAAGTGTGGTGCCCCATTGAAGCCTGATGGCTCAGCGCTACCAGTCTAATTTGTGATAAATAAGCTGGGGCTCCAGGCTCCTGGGAGGCTGGTATGGGAGCAGGGAGCTTCTCTGACCATTGGGTCAGGGAAGATGAGATCTCTGCTGGCACCTGCCTCCGGGAAGGATGCAGGAGGTGCAGTGATTTGGACCTGCTCCACAGCTCAGCCCATCACTCAAGCAAGGGGGCTTTCTGCTTCCTACGAGGCCTCGTGGCCAGGAAATAGCTCCTGCTTTCCAGCCGCACTTCTGATCCCTCTTGCAGAGCCTGGGGAGGTCGGCGCAAGGCTGCTCTCGCATCAGCAATGGCTGAAAACAACACCTAAGGTGGGATTTACTGCCACATATGTGCTGGGAAGATGCAGGGACCCGTTGCGCCCGGCTGATGTATTGGATTTCAGGTTATGTGATGCACAGGTCTCTCTGAGTGCTGTAATTCCCCCTTTCTTCCTGTATGGATTTATACTGCTAAGTGGATGGATTTTCTGCTTGGCAGGGATGCTCCTCTGGGACCTTCCCCAGTTAGAAACATCTCCGCACATCTGTACGTAATATTGCTGGGGCATTTCACGAGTGGGCTTTTACGACACCCCTTGCTTTATGGACTGCCACTTAATCCGGCCAGGCACAGCGGAGGGGCTGATGAACAGCATCCCGCAGCCGGCGGCAGGCTTGGTGCCAACTCCAGGTGTCGGAGGGCGCCTGGGGCTGCGTGTGAAAGCCACCGCTCTCGGATGGCTTTCTCATACAGCTGCCCTGGGCAGTGGGAGCATCGCTGCCTCAGTCCCTGAAAACAGCTTGAAAGGGACAGGTTTCTTCTGCTTAATAACCTGAGACAGCATGGCTCCGGACCAGGCATGGAGATCCTGCGTGGAGATGAAGGCAATCTGTCTGTCTGGGATGCTTCCCCCAGGCAAGGGCTGGGCCTGACATTTTCATCTCTGCTAAGAGCTGTCCCTTCCCCCTGCCCCGAAGAGCCATCTGCTATGGTAGATTACCCTGGCTTTTAGCGCTGTGAATCCATAATTAGTGCATAATTAATTACCAGATGTTTTTAACACTAATGAAACATTAATAAATGACGGAGGCATGTTGTCTGGTAATGGAACATTAACCAGTGAACCAAGCCAGCACACAGGGCAGTGCTGCTGATAGTACGACTAAGCTGGAGGCTGTGTGGGACTGAGCTCTCCTCTAATAAAGCCCCAGCATGGCAAAAGTCATAGCAAGTGCCTGATGGGAGCTAGCGACCAGCTTGGTGCTGCCTTCAGGCTTTACAGAGCCAGGGCTCTGGCTACTTCACCTGCATCCACCCACCCACACATCCTTCCATCCACCCACCCATCTTTCCATTCCTTCGCCTGTCCTTCCAACCACTCACCCATCCTTCTATCCACCCACCCATCCTTCCATCCATCCGCCTGTCCTTCCATTCATCCATCCATCCTTCCATCCATCCATCCATCTCCTAAATGGAGAGACGCTGTTGGTGCACTGGGCAGGCAATTTCCTTAAAAAAACAAGCATCTTTTCCCCCTGGGATGAACTGCAGCTCGATGATGTGTCTGCTCCAGTTGGTGCTCACAAGCAAGGCACGTGGGGAGAGGCCAGACCCCCGCACAGCGTGCTTTGCTGTGTTCGCTGCCCCTGTGCCGTGTCCCTGTAAGCCTTGCCCTGATGGAAGTTTAATTCAGACCATCTGGGCCAGTGGCATTTTGCTAACATGAAATTATTAATCAGACAAGGAAAGTGCATTAATTGGGACTACGTGTCATCTCCAGCCTCCAGGCTGCAGCGAGGCACAGGCAGGTCTCCATCCTCCTGCCTGCCTGAGAGGTCTCAGGGTGCGGCCAGAGCTCGGGGACACATGGGATCCCCGAAGTCCCCATGAACGGGGACATGTGGCACCTCCCCATCACATCGCAGGTGACACACGGGGTGGGTGACAACCATCCCCTTTACATCACCAGGGTTTCCAGGGGTGGGCATCCCCCTTGCACCTTCTCAGGATGACCTGAAAGCCAGTTTTTGGGTCCCCCCACCACCTGGGGAGATGATGCTATAGGCTCAAGCCCTGGGGCAGGCTCCAGGGTGTTAGTGTCCCTCTCACTACCATCCCCATGTCCTCCCTGTCACATCCAGCACCACGCACCAGAACCCACCCACTCCAGCCACAGGGGAAATAACACCCACAGCTGCCAGTCATCATGAAATGATCATTTAATGAAGACCGTCTCTCCCGGTGCATGTGTGTGTGTGTGCGCGCGTTGTCTCTGTGTGAGCTTTGTTTTATCCCCTCTATTACTTCTTTTTTTTTTGATTCTTTTTTTTTTTTTTATATATATACATCTATAAAAAATTCAAATACAGCATGTCAACAGTGGGAATACTAGGACGTATGGTATTAAATACTGCGCTTGGGTCCAGGCAGGGGCAAGAGGAGGTGTCTTTACAAAACAGGGCTTGGGTCAGGATGGGGAGGAGAGCAGAGCAGGCACGGGGACAGCTGGGGACAGCGGGGACAGCAAGGGACAGGTCTGCAGGGCTCCAGCTCTAAAGGCAACAGCAGAGCTATTCTGCTTCTGTTGGAGAAAAAGACAAACGTCAGCGGGGGCGATTCCCTGTATCCAACGTGGTTAAAAGTTTGGGGGTGATGTGGGGACAGGGTTGGGGGTGGCAAAGGCTCCTGCAGGGTGCTGCAGGGGGGGAGG